ATCTGGAACTATTCTTCGGCAGGTTCATGGTTATGGATTCAGTAACAAAACCTAGTATAGGACAAATCGAAGTATGGTATGACATTTACTTAAAAAGATCCTGCTTGAATTCAAGGGACTCTCAACACGGAGGGCAATTTCTTTAGTAAAGTTTAAATGGATTGAAGATATTTAAGCCAGTGGCAAAGCAGAAATTAGTTTGTTTGCATTTATGATTTATTGCATCTTCATAAAGCAGACAGTGAAGTTTGGATTAAAGTGCACAAAGTTAATTATTGTGATTGAAAGTAATTACTCGAATTTGGCGTTACTTGATAAAGGGACATGTAAATGCAGGTATAATAATTGTTTCATATCAACATCTGTTTGTCTGTTATGTACATATTCAAGAAAAGATTAAGGAAGTGCGCAACCAGCAAGGGATCTTGAGTATAATCTGGTGAAATGAAAATTTTAATCTCAAGATGGTGAATCACTTACCATTTTGACAAATCCTTTTAGCTAACTTGCAATAAATTATATTAGTTATATACCGTTGCTGAAATGTACGGATATCTATGGTTACTCGCACAAAAGAGATATGGAAATGTATATTGCCTCAGCATATAACGTTGGCAAAGGTCATTACCTTGTAATAGGCCTTTGCTTGTCAAGCAAGGCATCCTCGTCAGACGGACACAATTGCGAGTGCTTATCGACAAACGAATACGTTGGAATGGCTTTCACAAGCTGGCACCGTTCGGAGTCGAATATGCGGGCTCCACCGTGGTACATGACCGCAAAATGCGGTGCCTTATGCGATATGGCTAAAAGCGTTTTACACTAAGCCTGTCAAACGTAGGTTTTGATCATTACTGTTATGCAAGTAATTTTTGGGGCCGCTGTTCACTTCTCTGACCACGACCGATGCACTGGCGCTTACTTTTCCTGCCGCATTGCTGGCTTCACATCTGTACGTCCCAGTATCGTCCAAATCTGCGTCTCTGATGGTATACGTTCCTTGATTTCCTGACAGAAAACTTTTAAAC